TGTGTGTGTGTGTGTGTGTGTGTGTGTGTGTGTGTGTGTGTGTGTGTGTGTGTGTGTGTGTGTGTGTGTGTGTGTGTGTGTGTGTGTGTGTGTGTGTGTGTGTGTTGCTGTGTGTGTGTGTGTGTGTGGAGTTGTGTGTGTGTTTGGAGTGTGGTGTGTGTGGAGTGTGTGTGTGTGTGTGGAGTGTGTTGGTGTGTGTGAGTGTGTGTGTGTGTGTGTGTGTGGTGAGTGTGTGTGAGTGTTTGTGTGTGTGTGTGTGGTGTGTTGTTTGCATGTGTGTTGCAGTGTGTGTGTTGCAGTGATGTGTGTTGCAGTGGTGTGTTGCAGTGGTGGTTGCTGTGTGTGTGTTGCTGTGTGTGTGTTGCTGCTGTGTGTGTGTTGCTGTGTGTGTGTTGCTGTGATGTGTGTTTGCTGTGTGTGTGTTGCTGTTTGTGTGTTGCTGTGTGTGTGTTTGCTGTGTGTGTGTTGCTGTGTGTGTGTTGCGTGTGTGTGCATGCGCGCGTGTAGTGTGCTCGTGTAAGTGCCCGCGTGTGTAGTGTGCGCGCGTAGTGTGTGGCGTTTTTCCCCCCCCCTTGTGTGTGTGTCTATTGCGGGTGTGTAGTACGTGTGTGGTGTGTGTGTGTGTTGTGGAGTTTTGTGTGTGTGTGTGTGTGTGTGGTGTGTGTGTGTGGTTGTGTGGTGTGTGGTGTGTGTGTGTGGTGTGTGTGGTGTGTGTGTGATGGGTGTGTGTGTGGTGTGTGTGTGGTGGTATGTGTTGGTGTGTGTGTGTGTGTGTGGTGTGTGTGTGATGTGTGTTGTGTGTTTGTGTGTGGTGATGTGTGTGTGTGTGTGTGTGGTTGTGTGTATGTGTGTGTGTGTGGTGTGTGTGATGGTGTGTTGTGGGTGTGTGTGTGTGTGGTTGTGTGTGTGTGTTGTGTTGTGTGTGGTGTGTGTGTGGTGTGGGTGTGGTGTGGTGTGTGTGGTGTGTGTGTTGGTGTTGTGGTGTGTGTGTGTGTGGTGTGTGTGATGTGTGTGTGGGTGTGGTGAGTGTGGTGTGTGTGGTGTGTTGTGGTGGTGTGTGTGGTGTGTGAGTGGTGTGTGTGTGGTGTGTGTGTGGTGTGTGGTGGTGTGTGTGTGGTGTGTGGTGGTGTGTGTGTGGTGTGTGTGTGGGTGTGTGTGTGGTGTGTGTGTGTGGGTGTGTGTGTGGTGTGTGTGTGTGGTGGGTGTGTGTGTGTGTGTGGGTGTGTGTGGTGTGTGTGTGTGGTTGTGTGTGTGTGGTGTGGTGGTGTGTGTGTGGTGTTGTGTGGTGTTTTGTGTGGTGTGGTGTGGTGGTTGTGTGTGTGGTGTGTGGTGTGTGTGTGTGTGGTGTGTGTGTGGTGTGGTGTGTGTTGTGTGGTGTGTGTGTGGTGTGTGTGTGGTGTGGTGTGTGTGAGTGTGGTGTGTGTGTGTGTGTGTGTGGTGTGTGTGTGGGTGTGTGGTGGTGTGTATGTGGTGTGTATGTGGTGTGGTGTGTGGTTGTTTGTGTGTGTGTGTTTGGATGTGTGTGTGTGGTGTGTGTGGTGAGGTGTGTTGTGGTGGTGTGGTGTGTGTGTGGTGTGGTGTGGGTTGAGTGTGTGTTGTGTAGTGTTGTGTGTTGTGTAGAGTGTGTGTAGTGTGCGTGTAGTAGTGTGTGTGTGTGTGTGTGGGTAGTGTGTGTGGTGTAGTGTGTGTGTGTAGTGTGTGTTTGTAGTGTGTGTGTGTAGTTGTGTGTGTAGTGTTGTGTAGTGGTGTTGTGTGTGGTGTGTGTATGTGTGTGTGTGTGGGGGGGGTGGGTGTGGTAGTGTGTGTAGTGCGTGTAGTGTGTGTAGTGTGTGTAGTGCGTTAGTGCGTGTAGTGCGTGTAGTGTGTGTAGTGTGGTAGTGTGTGTAGTGTGTGTGTGTGTGTATCTTGTAGTTTGTGTGTTGTGTGTAGTGTGTGTGTGTGGTAGTGTGTGTGTTGTAGTGTTGTGTGTGTGTTGTGTGTGTGTGTATGTGTGTTAGTGTGTAGTGTGTGTGTAAGTGTGTGTGTGTAGTTTGTGTGTGTAGTGTGTGTGTGTGTGTGTAGTGTTGTGTTGTTGTAGTTGTGTGGTGTGTATATGGATTGTGTGTGTGTAGAAGTGAGTGTGTGTAGAGTGTGTGTGGTAGTGTGTGTGTGTAGAGTGTGTGTTGGTAAAGTGTGTGTGTGGTGTAGAGTGTGTGTGTAGTATGTGTAGAGTGTGTAATGTGTATGTGGTGTGGGAAAGTGTGTGTGTTTTTGTGTGTCAGTGTGTGTGTGTGTGTGTGTGTGTGTGAGTGTGTGTGTGGTGTGTTTGTGTGTGTTTGTGTGTGTGTGTGTGTGTGTGTGTGTGTGTGACGCGCCGGGTGGTTGGGGTAGGCAGTGTGTGTGGAGGAGAGTGTGTGTGGTGTGGGGCAGTGTGTGTGTAGTGTGTAGTGTGTGTTAGTGTAAGTGTGTGTGTGTAGTGTGTGTGTGTAGTGTGTTGTTGTGTGTGTGTGTGTGTGTGTGTGTGTGTGTGTGTGTGTGGGGTGGGTGTGTGTGTTTTGGGTGTGTGTCGTATGTGTGTGTGTTGGGTGTGTGTGTTGTGTGGGTGTGTGTGTGTTTGGTTTTGGTGTGGTGTTTTTTGGTGGTGTGTGTGTATGTGTGTGTGTTTTGGTGTGTGTGTGTGTGTGTTTGTGTTTTGTGTGGGTTTGTGTGTGTGTGTGTGTGTGTGGGTGTGTGTGTGTGTTGTGTGTGTTGGGGTATGGTGTTGTGTGTGTGTGTGTGTGTGTGTGTTTTTTGTGTGTGTGTGTTGTGTGTGTGTTGTGGTGTGTGTGTGTGTGTGTGTGTGTGTGTGTGTGTGTGTGTGTGTGTGTGTGTGTGGTGTGTGTGTTTGTGTGTGTGTGTTGTGTGTGTTGGTGTTTTTGGTGTGTTGTGTGTGTGTGGGTGTGTTTTGGTGTGTTGTGCTGTTGTGTGTTGTTGTTGTTTTGTGTGGGTGTGTGTTGTGTGTTGTTTGTGTGTGTGTAGTGGGGGTGTGTGTGGTGGTGGGTGTGTGTGTGTGTGTGTGTGGTGTGTGTTGTTGTGTTTGTGTGTGTGGGGGTTTGTGTTGTGGTGTGTGGTGTGGGTGTGTTTTGGTGTGTGTGTTGTGTGTGTAGGGGTGTGTTTGTGTTGTTTTTGTGTGTGTGTGGTGGGGGTGTGTGTGGTGTGTTTTATGTGTGTGTGTGGTGTTTGTTTGTTGTTAGGGGTTGTTGTGTGTGTGTGGTGTTGTGTGTTTTGGGGTTATGGGTGTGTGTGTGTGTGTGTGGTGTGTGTTTTGTGTGTGTGTGTGTGTGTGTGTGTGTGTGTGTGTGTGTGTGGTGTGTGTGTGTGTGTGTGTGTGTTTTGGTGTGTGTGTGTGTGTGTGGGGTGTGTGTGTGGTGTGTGTGTGTGTGTGTGGGGTGTGTGTGTGTGTGGTGTTGTTGTGTGTGTGTGTGTGTGTGTGTGGTGTGTGTGTGTGTGTGTGTGTGTGTGAGTGGTGTGGGTGTGGTTGTGTGTGTGTGTGTGTTGTGTGTGTGTGTGTGTGTGTGTGTGTGTGTGTGTGTGTGTGTGTGTGTGTGTGTGTGTGTGTGTGTGTGGGGTTTGGTGTGTGTGTTTTGGGTGTTTTTGTGTGGGTGTGTGTTTTAGTGGTGGTGTGTGTGGTTGGTGTGTAGTTGTGTGTGTGTGTGTTTTGTGTGTGTGTGGTTTTGGTGTGGGGGATGTGTGTTTTGGTTGTGTTTTAAGTGTGTTTTGTGATTTGTGTATGTGTATAGGGTGGTTGTGTGTTGTGTGTGTGTTTTTGTGTTGTGTGTAGTGGTGTGTGTTGGTTGTGGTGTGTGTGTGTGTGTGTGTGTTGGTGTGTGTGTTTTTGGTGGTGGTGTGTGTGTGTGTGTGTGGTGTGTGTGTAGTGTGTGTGTGTGTTGGGGGTTTGTGTGTGTGTGTAGTGTGTTGTGTGTGTGTGTGTTTAGTTTGTGGTGTGGTGTGTGTGTGTGTGTGTGTGTTGTGTGTGTTGGTGTGTGTGTGTGTGTGTGTGTGTGTGTGTGGGGTGTGTTGTGTGTGTGTGTGTGTGTGTGTGTGTGTTTAAAATGAAATTAAAAAAATGTGGGGTTAATGAAAAAACCCTACAAAACAGGGTTAAGGTGTAAGTCTACAGGTGTGTTATTGTGGGCCCCTCGCCCCCCTCCCTATCCCCCCTCGTCAAGTATACCAATTCCAGGTGTTCAAAGTACAAACTAATTATATACTTAATCATTCTTTATTGGCCACTGCCCTACACAATGAACACAAATTTAAATGTCATTAACAATATGATAATGTTTAAGGATTACAAAATATCTTGTGACGAAGAAAATAAAGAAATCTAGCTAAATTGGTTTATTAACATACAAGCTATAAAACCCTTAAAGTTCAACAACTTCTAGTTACCTAGCAATTTACTATAAATATTATAGGTTTTAGTCTGCTTATCCAATATGAGTGATGATCCCTGCAGTCTTCACAGTAAGATAATGTTGAAACAATTTACAATTGGAAGGAGTATGTACAGTATCTTGCAAAATTCAATTGAAAAGCTGTATAATATAGCAATCCTCCTTAATACAGGCAACAGATTTTGCTATAGATCAAAATCTGGGAGAGTATATTAAAACTAAAAATTGCTGTATGTCTACTGGAACAGGGTGCTTTTAATGTATCCAGGGCAAGCTGCTTGCTAGTTAGGACAATGACTGGATGTGTCTTGTTCTGATATGTCGGGTAAGATTGGGATGCTGATTGGCTCTGTAGGGACAGTGGGGACATTGGAAAGGCCGGACACCAGTATGAGTCCTCATGTGTCTCTTCAGGTCCCCAGCCCAACCAAAGGCTTTACCACAGAGGGCACATTCATGGGTCCGGCTGGTCCTGGTGTGAGAGGAGGACCGGACAAGGGGTGGCCAAGGATGCCCTCCCCCCATGACCACCTCTCCTCGCCTCTTTACACACATGACTGGCAGCTCTCCCTCCTCCCCCTGCAACACATAAACCTACTCAGAACGTTTTTCACGTATCACATGCAACAGTAGCACCAATACTCTACATTCTAGGAACAGCAGGACACTTAGAAAATTTCAGCTGCAAGAAGAAGTGTAGCTTGAAATTATTAGCCTTTTTCCCCTGAAGTGAATTATTTGGGATGAATTTGACTTGCTTGGTCTAGTGTCATTTGACTCTGTTGATTTGATAGCATCTGTATTTCCTGACTAGAGTATACTTGAGTATCCTGGTGTAAAGGAATGCCAACATCATGAATATTATGCACATTCATCTCACGATTGATCGTGTTAGTAACTTCCCGAGATGAAAAAATATCAATCATTCGATTTGTATGTACATTAGTTTCCCTACTGAGAGCCATGTTAAGTTCTCTATTTTGGTGAATATTAATCTCCTGATTAGATGGTGCACAAACTTCACGATTCGAGTTCAAGTTACTTTCTTGATTTAGGTTTAACTGAATGGTGGTAGTTATTTCCCTATCTGAAGTAATATGAACATCCTGACTGGCGGATCTATGATTTCCGAGTGTGTGTGGAATCTGAATTTCCAAATTAGAAGATATTTCAGTCCTAAGGGCTGGCAATACTTCACTCTCCTGATATGAAGAAGACTGGTTACTATGGCTAGCCAACATGCCAAGTTCCTCAGTACAATCCCTCTCAGATGGTCTATTCTGTAACACCGAAGTCAAAAGATCGTGGTGTCTATTACGAATATGACGAATTAAGTTATATTTTAAAGCTGATCTGTGCGGACAAATGGGACACTTAAAAGGTTTTTCTTTAGTGTGTGTTAGAAAATGATACTCAAGATTTTGTTTCCAATTCCTTCCGTTGAATACTTTCCCACAAACTTTGCATACATTCCCAAGCTGTTCGGCTCCAAT